CTGTTGCGTAGGTGCACTGGCCTTAGCATACACACAAATGACAGAACTGCCTAAAAGAGATCTCGAAGTAGTAAGCAAAGAGTTTTCAGTTTCTTTATGATGAGAAAAGGGTGTACGTTTCTCTTTCCAGTCACAAAAAGAAATATGTAGGACGGACTAGTGGAAGTAAAACTTCGAATTGTTAGTCGGAAATAATCATTGGCTGTTTGATAACAAATAAACACCGAAAAAAGTATTGTTTCAATGGAAGGAAAAAAGGCTCCAGTTACATAAATAATACTACAAAAAATATATATATTAACTAGGTAGCCGGTGCTACCCAATGCCACCAGCTTGTGCAAATTAATAAGGTTATTGTCATGGACATTAAATGTCCTAAACCGCAGCATATACTATTAATCGAAAACATTCAGCAATGTAACATTGTCAAAATGATTTACATATATTTATACATATATCAATCAAATTGACGAGTCATATTTGATTATACATTGCACGTTATACAGGGATTACTTATAACAATTTAGTAAAATCATCGTAAAGTATAGTCGCCTATATTGTTATAATTTTTACTACATGTTCAGCTTGCGCCTTACAGAGGTGACTATAGGGAGGTTTTGGGGTCACTATTATGACCTAATTTGAACTTTGTTTCTGTAATATGAAGTGAAATTACTTCCATGATATTCTATGTTTTGGTGTTTATTGTAGTCTTTTTCTCATTTGAGCATCAGCTGGTGTCGCACATGAAACAGAGGACGCCTACCCTTCCTGTGGACTGTTTTAGCTTGATCTCATCAATATTGTTTCATCGTTGAACGATTGTTTTATTGAAACATATCTCACCCTAAAAACAATTAAGGATTGCACACGATGGCCATGGCATGCAATATGCTTTTGAAGACCATGATCGCAACAATTATAATTTCTGTTGAAGACCACAGCCAATATATTTACGATAGACACCAAGTTAGCTGTAGACTGTGATCCCTGACAAAAGGTATTTTGAGAAAGTTACAAATGATAATGATTTCTGTAGGCAATGACCCCTTAAACAGAATTCTGAAAATGGTAATCACATACAGAAGATTTTATGAAAATCGTGACTACAGACATCTAATATTCCTTAGACGGCGAAAAGAGACAATAAGTTTTCTATGTTGTGTAACTACCACCAAAAGGTTTTTTGGATATGTGACAATGTTTATTTTCTGGAGACGATGGCTACAAGCAAAAAAGTTTTTTTCTGAAGGTGTGGGTTATTAAAATATGTGATATTGCACAATGTTTTATGTAGACTATTGCGACAGAAAAAAAAATTCTTAAATTGTGAATTTTTCGCTGAAAACATTTACTGACTAAGAGACAAGGTATTTTTCCTACAGATTTAAAGGTGAATATTATTCAATCACGACGCACTAGGTACGATTATTGTTCCGTTCAGGTAAGAAAATCCATAATTGTTTTCGTTCGAACGTATTCTCAACCTTAAGGGTAATTATAGAGACAAAATTTACGTTTAGTTCGGACACGGACGGAAAGTAAAGCGAATTTGTTTAGAGTACTAATTGTAGTCTCTTTTGTGACGAAAGAAGAAATATTCACTTCAAGAGGGCTTTCACCACACGTCACGTCGTATATATATGTATAATACATTTTTTAGCCATCGCCTGCAGAGTTGACAAAAAAGTTTAGAGGGATGGAGGGGTAAGTATAGAAATTTCTGTATTTTACCTTCGTTTTTAGGCTTAACGTACTCAGTACGCATAGCCTATTGCAACGGCCTTTCAGACAAAATTTACTGATCCTGGCCTTCTCATTGGCTGAAATATCGAAAAGAGTTAGAGCCCTCTAGTGGCAATTTTCGATGTAAATAATGCCGCGATTTTTCAAATCGCTATTTTAAAAGCATCCAACATTAGCTTATTTTTTTATAACAATACGATTACTGTATATTTCAGAAAAGAAGCACAGTGTGACTGAACTATTGATAAATTTTGACCAGTATATTTTATGGCTTGGTTTGAATTATCAACTAACAGCACTTATAAACAAACAAAACTTACAAACAGAACATCAATTTTGCTTTAATCCTTGTCGTTGTGGCAAGATCGTCTGAATATATAACATCACTTTCCTCATTAGACGTCACAAAATTGGACTGCGCACACCCTCCGATATGACACTTTTTCGGGATTTTCACACCCACCGACATGACACTTTTTCAAGTTTTTGAAGATAAAAACTTTGCGCTTCGTAGGCAAGTTACATTTGGTGCTCATGATTTATGAATGATATATTTTAATACTTTACTGAACATGATGTTGACTTTGTTAAAACTTATATTTTCTTTTAGTTTTATTTGATGAAGGTTGATTGTGCTGACTTCTCAAGGTTTGTTAATGTGTATCCAAGTTCCTTGAAATGAAAATATTCCTTCAAAAAAAGCGCGTATAAAAAACCCCAAAATATTCATGTTTATAATTATCAATTAACTAAAACGAAATGTTTCCATAACATATTTATTCATTTAGCGTGTCATGGTGACATTATCGAATGCATAGGATATCTGAAATAGTAGTAGCTATAGTGAAAATATTGTATTTTTGTATATATATGGAAGTCTGGTTTAATCTCATAGAACTATGCCTTTATAGACATAATTACTGGAAGAAAAGTCTAACCATGATACTTCAAGGAAGATAGGCATGTAAATACATTTAATGTAATTACTTACACTTTTATCTATCTGAAATGCTGTGTATACCTTATCTACTTTCCTCAACTACAAATATAATTATAATAAGTAAGGACTATTACTTTGCAATACATTCAAAATAAAGAAGTAGGTATAATGTCCTTTCAATTTGTTTAAATCCTCATATTGATAGAATAGTAATTGCAACATCTTGGGTATTTCAAAGGTTTTATTTAGTCAACTTCATCATAGAGCTATTTATCATTTGGCTTGTTGGCGATAAATATATGGTTGTGTGTATTTTTTTTACCTATTTTGATTTATTCACATTATTGTCGTCAAATTTGAAATAAGAATTAAAGAATTATTTTAGTAATTTTTGCATTCCAAAGTGTAGGAGTATGGGGAAAGTAATATAGCTTAGCGGTTATTTATGAACATTTTTCAAAACGTTTAGCCTCTCAGTACTTTCATTTTTAATGTTGATAATTTTCTTAATAATGATCTATGGTTGAAAGACCAAAGCTGAAGATTTATTTATGGGGTTACATGTATTTAACGTCAATACAAAATATTTCTTTACAACAAACCATGTTTGAAACTGCTTATATGTATTAATAAATCTGTTGATAGGACAAATGATAATGCCGCATTATTAACAAATACAAATTAACGGCAAATTGGACGTGTTTGAAATGGTCCAAAGTTAATCAGCTGTTCACTTGGCCAGAGCGTAATTCCACGACAGAACTTAGAATACGCAAGAAGCCGGGAACAGAATAAAAACAATTACACACATCCCCACTGAGCAAGAGTAATTAGTCGGGGCCAAAGGAATGTATGTGAACGTTGAAATACGTTCACCGCCGCCACACCAAGGTTAATATATAATGCTTTTCGTATTTAATAATGCATAAGTAATACTGTTTTTGGGAGTCTGGTCCACTTTCCAACACGACTGATCTATGCTTTTCGAATGTGTTTGCTCAGGTTAGTGTCTCAACGGAAAATACTTTCACATAAGTGATATCTGTTCAGATTTCTTTTGTTTACAACATATTCACACAGAAACCAGACATTAATGTGTTCTACTGAAACGAATATAAGACGATGTTTGATTTGCTTATGCTCTCGTATACTCTGAGAAGCAAATATTATATAAATATATTCAGATATCAAAGGTTGCACTAATGACAGATACGTGAAAAGCACCATTGAATACAAAGTTAGTAGAACTAAATTAATGTCACTGTATTATATATATACCAGTTTCGTCTTGCTTGGACTCGCCAGTGATGCTAACGACCTGAATCGTTAAAACCTTTATTTAAAAAATGTCAACACCAAAACAAATCTATTTCAAAGAAATAAACAACACTCCCCAACAGAATAGATTGAAACTTGATGAGGGATATATTGCACTATTTGAGCATCAATGTCATGTAAAGAGCACAGAGAAAACCATTTTTATGTGACCTGCTATACAAGGCAGCAGAAAGTTTCCTAAGGAATAGAAAACCTGAGATAAGAATATTACTATATAAAGTCTGTGTATATAGAATTCTTTTGATAAGATTGATAAACACACACTACACTCCAAATGTTACATACAGATATGTTACGGATGTTATTATTTCGGTTATTTCATGTTCACATATGATGTGTATATATGTACAGAAATTATGTGCTTAATTGGGGACCAAATGAACACTGATACGTCAGTTTTTAAGGACAAATATTAAAGAAATAATAATGTTTCCAAGTGAATCCATGGTATACAAATAATATATGGATGTATATTTATGTATTAGGCAATCTGAATCCTGTATCGTGATGAGGGGATATGTATTGAGAAGTGACATAACCCCTTAACCCGAGATCAAAATGCATTGGTAAGCATTCATAGCAAATATCGACATAACAGTAGTCTCAATAGATAACATATGCAATAATCATATATATATATATATATACAGTATAGAATATCATTCATTTCTCAGAGAAAACACTTGGCGAAATGAACTCTTGTTAGTGCCTACACCGTGGTATAATTTATGTCAACGATTAAAGAGTAAAGTAGAAAACAGCAACCTGCGGGCAGTCGTCAGCATAGAAAATCAATATGAGATATTACAATATTCTTTAATAGAGTTTCTGATCTGCATAACCTTACCTGCATTGGCTAACATTTATTACCACTACTTCAATATTCAAATATGATCTTTGTCCTACCTTTGTAAGATTAAAGAACAAAGTCTATTGACTTGTGAAATTACAAATGTATAATCAGAAATGACCATACCTGCATCAGATTCATACACGTAATGGACATCCTTTAATTTGTATTCAAGGATCATGTCTCTCATGGCCTCGGTAACAGGAGGCTTCATGTAAATTTCATATCCACGGTGACCTGCCACTCCAGTCGGTATACTCGTAGTTACATATGGCATGGCGAATTTATTCGTGTAAGACTTGATGATGCCCTGAGAGTGAAAAGCTCGGCTACCCAGTAGGACGAACACACCGCTGAACAAATGGGAACAGACTGAAATGACAAAGATAAATTTTGTATTATTTAAAAGAACGTTATGTATTTTCCAGCGTATCAACTTTAATCATCATGTGGTGCTGAGGAATCGGTACAAATAAGAATTTCAGACGCATAAAACGTTCTTTAGGATTCCTTAATATCGAACACTAACGAAACAAGCCTCACAAAACGAAAGAGTAATGACAAACGCCACAGATAATATTTACCCAAGCTACTCTGGGACGTCGACATCAGCAGTTCTTGAAATATATATCGTGCTATTTGTTTGATAAAAACATCATGGATTGGATACAGTTAAACATGCCAAGATTAATCATATTAGTATTAATATACTGCAGAGAATAGTATAATGTGTTAACGTGTGGTTGACGTGCTTGTATGCAGCTAAAGTCAAAAGAAGTAGTATTGTCCGGATGATGGGTTCGTATAAACTATTTCACTATTGATACGGTGGCATGACTCTCCATGCGGTTGCATAATCTTTTCACTGACTTACTTTGAAATCAGCAATTTTCGTGAAAAATTTATTTTCGTTGATACCGTTTGTTCTCATAATCTAAAATTCCATACGTCAACGAACTGTTATAATTAGTATAGGTACAGCTGTAGAGTTATATCTATTTACGAAATAAAATATCATCGAAATATTTTTCAAAAACCAGAAAATTGAGGCCCTTCAGAATTTATTATTTCACAGTATAGCTTTTTCAAATGTTGGATATATTCAAACCTATTCAGATACATTAAAATCAGAATCTTTGAGTTAGTTTCTGTAGATATTCTAATTAGATAACCTGACGTTGTAAATTATTTAAAAGACAATTCACTGAGTCAAGTTGTTGATCCTAACCAAAATTATGAGAACTATGTTTATCAAAGTCTGTTGACAACCAACCAAACTTCTGATATTAAAGTTTTCTTTACCAAAATGAACGACATTCACTTTTTGACGTTAAAAGAAAATTGATCTCTTATTGTAAGTAAGGTAGGTCATTACTCTATAACACGAAATGTGACATAAAGAAGTTACTGTTGAAGAATGATGCTCATGGTTAACACACACACGGCAATGTATATATCTGTTCTGATGTATTACCAGAGCAAACAACTAAATATGTTTGCCATAAGACACATGATGCCCAGTACTTTCATGTACCATCCTGATACTGAGAGTCAGCAGCGATTTGACAATATATATATATATATAACTTTGTATCTTTAAAGCTAATACACTGCTGAGCATGAAAACAGATATTCTCTTTGGTGAAAGTAAGTATTCTTCAAATAGAAAAGTCATGGATTTATATATCTATGTGTTATGCCAAGACATAACACACAGATATATAAATCCATGACTTTTCTTTCAAGCTGTGACCCCATGTATTCAGGGCATTCATAAAAATATGTTCTTTAAAGGTCGATAGATATAGAGTTAACTTTTTATTTGATAATTATCGATATCAACATGACCGTCCCTACCAGACTCAACTGGATACCATTGCTATCGGAAGTGACGTATATACATTTCTCTCTACATTACTATTGGGTTTGTAAACAGTTTGAATGATTGATAAGAAACATTGTATGTTTTCTCACCGGGTTTGATCTGAAGGTACGTCCGATGATTTATTAACGGAAAGCTGTTGGAGAACCCAAAGGACGACATAAATGTCATTGTCTTAGAGATAGCAGAACTACAACAGAATCTAGGAGCTGAGGTAGATATCAGACAGCATTAGAGTCTCTGTTTTCTGCTACCAGTATATTCCTATCGGCGTTTTCATGTACTTTAGGGATCAAATTTTACGTTAATTGTATTTGGCTATTCATTATTGACTACTCTGCCTCGTTCTGATATTAATTAGCAACATTCCGTTTGAGATCTTATCTCCTTTTTAAAATGTTTCCGTTTTGAGCAGAATGCTTTGGGTTATTATCAACATATTATTCAGATTTTCAATACCAATATCTTTGGAATTAGCCAGACGTGTGAATATTACCTCGTTTTCATGTCATTTCTTAAGGTATATGTGGTCTGGACAACCATAACAACATTAGAATCATGTGGATCTCTAGTTTTCTGAGCGAGCTGTGCTTCTCCACAAGAAAGAAAATCGATATCATTTCAGGCTTTTTTCACTTACCCAAATGTTAGCGTACTGTACTTCCTGCAGTGTTTCTGTATCGTTTAATTTTCAGACAATGGTTCAAGATATTTTGTATTATTTTTATTCTATCTTCGATGAAACATAAAACAACATTTAAGATCTCAGATTTTTTTTTTTTAAGAAATCTAAGTTTTGTTAATGTGAACCAATACCGAACTGTGTGAGAGACAGTCTAGTGGTATTTCGTGGTGGCATGCCTGGCATTTCTTCAGAGGATAGTATATATGATCCGATGATTAAAATTGATGCAATTAGTTAACTATTGTTAAAACGAAAAATACTCCTTGACATTTTTAGTTCTATAATCAAAGTTAATTTCGGAAAAAAAATACCCATGATTTTGGTGTAATGTTTTGCATGTCAACATACGACGTTCTAGTTTTTAAACATATATGAATGTCGTAACAGAAATTATTAAAACAAATTGAAAAAAAACATTACTCCGAAATCAAACAAGATAGAAAACTTATCAAACATTTATTTTTGTAACTTATTGTATTTTATCATTTTTGTGAGGCTGGACAGATAAAGGAATTAACATCAGATAAGAAACAACGGCGATAACATCTAGAATTATACAAAAGAATGAAAAAAAAAAAAAAAAAAAAAGGAACTGGCCACGTGATTGATAAAGATTTACATGGTGAGGATCGATGGTGCAGACAACACTTAAGGAGCACTAGGCCCTATTCTCCAAATACTTCTTTCATCGGTCTTCTTGTAAAATTTTCTGTTAAGTGACATTAATATTTTCTTAAACCATACTTAATTTATCAACAACTCATTTGCAACTTGACGCAGTGTTTTTTTTAAGTTCGTTTAAAAATATTTCTCATTAACTATTAACGCACTTTTGATTAAATTGTCTCATTTTGAAAAAGAAAATTGTCTTAAACATTTTCTGATTATAATATAAAACATAATTATAGCAAAATCATATATTTTCACTTTTTGCACTGATCACATGATCAGATTTTGGGAACCAGAAACATATTACTTAAGCTATAGGACGTGGCGACGGACAAATCTCAGGAGAATTATGTTCTGACAGCAGGCTACAGTGACAAATTGACTGTATTATATGTATACCCCATGTAACGTTTCTGTAAAATTATTATTTTTGTCGATGTTTTATTTCCGTTGGAATCATCAATCATGTTGACTTTTAATCCACGAACATTAATCTTCACGAATTGAAAAAAAACAAATGACTTGAGATTTAGCTATTCTGGGATCAGTCGGATTTATTTACGAAGTCAAAGGCAAACGAAAATGCATATTTGCGAAAAGCATGAAATTGCAGTCCAACGAAAATACATGAATTGAGAGTAAACTACACAGACAAATGTAGAGTAAGTGTACAGGGTTCATTTAGTCTTGTATGACATCGACACTTTTACAAAAATGTTTCCGTATTCTAAGACGTGTGTGGGAGACATTACAAGGAAATCGGACGGCAATCAAATTAATCATTTAAGGAACGTCACACCAGAAAATGTCTTTCTTATCCACCAGCCGTCCCTACGAGGAAAACATGTTAAAGTTCTTCAAGCAGAATCGGTCTCTGGAGTTTGATTAATTGTATATATAACGGCCCTGGTCAATACCCACTCCTAAGTATTCCTGTTCGCATTATCTACAATATCACACTCTAGGACAGTCTACGCAGATATACACATACGGGCAAATCATCAACTTTGAGAATTATTGGTGTAGAACTCCTCAACCTGATAAAACAGCAGCCCTCCATTTGACTGTGCTGCTGTCTTAGTGTGATTTTGAAATACAACAGTCAAAATGAATTGCCATACACCAATATTGTTTATGCAGAGGAAGGTCAATATCAGATTTGCTCATTTCCATTATTTGAAACACCATAGAGTGGGACAGCTTACATAAAAAAGACGGCAATGAAAAAAAAAATAAAATAATAATAATAATTCAAATACGTTCCTCTTAATGTTTGGCTGCAAGAAGTCATATGTTGACTTCATGTTTTCAGTTTTGAATTTCACTTTGAGCCTAAATTCATTTTGTTTTGATTCAACCTATTGTAAGAAACGTCGATTGTTTATTTTCATGCTGACGCAAATATCACTGGCGAGTACTAACTGTCGTAATACAGACCTACCCACACACATTTCGTTTCAATCATAATCGTTATGTGTAATAAAACAAAAAGGTCAATTTACTCGCAAACTTCTTTCTTTTAAGTTTGCAATAAATCACTTTAATCTCACAACAAACAGACCTCACGACACGATGGTTATTGTTTGAAGTCGACATTTCTAGTCGTTTTCGCGATAGTAGAATGTTAAATAAAACAAATGACATTTTCCTCTGCCATATATCAACCTGATATATCACTATGCTGACTGATTTATAGATATAATAGTCTGAGACGGCATGTGTCGGCTCGATCAAACAACATACTTCTTGAAAATATGAATCCGGATCTGCACGCCATCGTACGGAAAATATTCCCAAATTCCTATGCAGCCACTATTCTATGTCTGTAAAAACAAGGAGTGCAACCGAGTGTTTTTTACATATGATGTGGCAATTGCCATACATTTATAGTCAACTTAGGACAACTTTTTGAAACATTGAGCCGGCCAGTAAGAACTCTCCCAATTGACTATTTTTGATGAAGTGGTAACTTCTTTCAGCCCAAAAGTGATATGATTTGGTCTAATTTTGAGACATTTTTAAATGAAACTCTAAATTTCAGACATGAAATAAGTTTTTCTACCCATTTCAAAATATGTAATGAAACAACCAATGCCACATTCTCTTTAACCTGCTTTAACAATACGTATACAAGAA